GGAAGGAAATTTTGGCTGTGGAAGTTTCTCTGAGGAATGAGGGGGTCCCTGCTCCAAACCAGCCTCCCCCCCACCAGCTCAGGATTCCAGTACCTCGAAGAGAAGTCCCCACAACTTCTGGTTGTAAAAACCAGCAGGGAGTGTGACTTAGTGACATGGAGGCTGCTGGAGTCCCAGGCAGTTCCCCTTAAAGGGCCTGGAATCACTCCTTCAGAGCTCCAGCTTGCAAGGAACCTGGGACATTCGGGGAGGAACTAACTTGCCTGGAAGCAGGGCAAGAGCTGGAGGGGCAGCTTTCTCCAAGACAGAGGCCTGGCAGAGGCCACTGTTCCTTTGCTGAGTCCTCCCCGCCACAGAGCTGACAGTTAAGGCTCCATATCTGAATCTCTATCAATTTGGCTCACACTTTTAACCTTGCCTGGTGATTCTCTGAGGCCCTGCCCCTCCCTGCTTGCAGGCTCATCCAAGCCATATCCAGTGGCGTTTCCATACAACTGGCCTCTCTTGCCTCGTGCTTCAGACTTTCCTAAAATCTCTCAAACAAGCAGCAGCTGGCCTCAGCATGCCCTCTACCTCTCAGTAAGTGGCCCCAGGCCCAGCTCTGGTGGCAGCCTGCCCTGGTTCATGGCTTGGCCTCTCCTGGGCACCTCCAAGCCCAACATAAGTAGCAGCCATCTGAAGATTGCTTTCTAGCTCAGGCAGGGTATAGTCAGTGGTTGACTTTGTACTTCCCAGTGCACCAGGTGGTCACTTCAACCATATCAGATTACAACTATATCACCTCCATGAGTGACACAAACTGTAGAGAGCGCCTGGGAAGGCACATGAGCATTTATTTAATTATTGTCAGCTGAATCCAGTGGCATTGGCAGAGCCACATCCTGGAAACGCAACTTGCCAGAGGCTGGTGTGTTGTCAGCCTGACCTTCAGCTCAGGCGCCAGGGGGTGGGTTTCATTATCTAAATCCAGCCAAGCACCAGGAACAAACACGATGATTATCTGGGCCTATCCAGAATTGACGATTACAAAGAAGCCACAAGAATGCACATAATCTCCTTTGTCTTGGGCTTTAGTAAAACTTCCTGGTATTTTTCTGTATAAAATGAATGCGCTGTATCGTCTCTGGGTCACTGTCTCTCCATCAGAGGACAGCTGTCCCACCCGGCCCCAGCTTTTTCCTTCTATCTCTGTGTCTGTCTCTTCTTTCATTTTCTCAATCCCCTACTCAGGAACCAGACCACTCTCTAGCCACGCTGGATGTGGAAAAGAGATAAATATTTATAACAAACAAGGGGTGGACTCAGTGAGCACCAAAGCCCCCACTGTAACAAGGCCTGCTCTATAGGGCTGGCTCCTACATAGCAGCTCTTCCGCTGTAGTTGCAGCTGATTCTTGCTACTGATTGGCCTGGGGGTCAATTCCTCCCAGTGACACCAACATAAATCAAGGCTCAACTACAATATGACAGTGCACACAGCTCACACTGGAGTGCACCTGGAGTGCCCAGATCAGGTGACAGGGGAGGCTGAGCCACTGAGCCCTCCAGGACACCTACTAGACAAGGCCACTGTACCTAGTTTGGGAGACTTAGCAGATCTACCTAATACATAGAAACAAACACAGAAAAGCAGCAAAATGTGGAGACAAAGAAACATGTCAAAGAGAGTCCCAAACAAGATAAATCCAAAGAGGCCTACACCAAGACACATGATAACTAAAATGCCAAAGGTTAAAGACAAAGAGAATCTTAAAAGCAGCAAGGGAAAAGCAGTCAGTTACCTACAAGGGAGTGCCCATATGACTGTCATCTGATTTCTCAATAGAAACTTTGCAGGCCAGAAGGGAGTGGCAAGAAAATATTCAAAGTGATGAAAAGCAAGGACCTACAACCAAGATTACTCTACTCAGCAAAGCTATCATTTAGAATTGAGGGTCAGATAAAGAGCTTCACAGACAAGAAAAAGCTAAAGGAGTTCATCACCACCAAACCAGGATTACATAAAATATTAAAGGATCTTCTTTAAGAATAAGAAGAGAAAAAAAAATCAAGAATAGGAATAATAAAATGGCAGTATATACATGTCTATCAACAATTGAATCTAGAATTCAAAATAAATGAACAAGCAGAACAGAAACACAACATTTTTGACAGTTGACAAATGGGAGGGGTGTGGGGGATGGGTGAAAAAGGTGAAGGGATTTAGAAGTACAACTTAGTCATAGCCCATGGACACAGACAATAGACAGGTGGAGGCCTGGGATGGGGTGGGAGTGGGTGGAGGGGGACAAAGGGGAGAAAATGGGGGACATCTGTAATTCTGTCAACAGTAAAATAAATTAAAAAATAAAATATATCGAGGTAAAAAAGAGGGCGCTGAAATGGAAAACATTCAAAAAGTTAAAACTTTGCTCTGCATTTTTATAGCCTCTAAATTAGAATTGGGCATCAAAAAGTTTCGCTCAGGAGCACCTGTAACAGGAGACAGGGCAGGCAGGGCTCTCTGATCGCCAGGCCCTGTGGAGGAAGTCTGGGCCACCTGTCGAGGCCCACACACATCCAACAACACAAGAGGAGGACGGAGATGGAGCAGCATACAGAGCAGGGGCTGACGGTATTTAAATGGCGCAGGAAGAGCCCAAGGAAGTCTTTTCTTTGGCCCTTCAGGAGAGAGAGGCTTCCAAAGAATAAGGCATCTGCTGAGGGGAGACCCAGCGTTTGACTCTAGTTCCACATAAATTCTCCAGATCATTTTGATTTTGTTAACATGTAGGGAGAAAACCATAAATATTGCGTACAGCAAGAGCTTAGACCAGCTGTGGGCAAACTACAGCCCGCGGGCCGGATCCGGCCCGTTTGAAATGAATAAAACTAAAAAAAAAAAAAAAGACCGTATACCCTTTTATGTAATGATGTTTACTTTGAATTTATATTAGTTCACACAAACACTCCATCCATGCTTTTGTTCCAGCCCTCCGGTCCAGTTTAAGAACCCATTGTGGCCCTCGAGTCAAAAAGTTTGCCCACCCCTGGCTTAGACTTTACAGAGAAACAGTGATGGTGTCTTTCTACCTGTCGTGAAGCACTTGCCTTGAACAGGTCGATGTTGCTGAGGACGCTGAAGTTCATGTCCATGGTGAGGGCTGACTGCATGGCGGCGGGCAGGGCCTCGAGCAGGTCTGACTCGTCTTGGTAAAGGTGAACACATCCACCCACAGGGTAGAATAGTTGATGGAAAACATCAGCCAAGTATGAGGGAAAACAAAACTGAACAAAATGCCAACTCTTTCTCTAAGTAGAGAGTGGCATCAAATTCTATGCTCATGACGCCTACTGGCCACACTGCCCAGCCCAGCGGCTGTGACCATGACCTTACTGAGGATGATGTAACAGTTCTGAATAAACCAGAACCTGTGTTTGCTGAAACTTTAAATACAGTTTAGTGGCCACGGGACAACGGCTAGTGAACAGACAGGCGGGGGTGGGATAGTCTAGTTCCTGTTGTCTGAACCTGAGGATCAGGCAGCGCAGGGGTGGGCGGGTTATGGCAACCTCTACGGGCGCCTGAAGGCTCAGGGCTCTGTCCTCCTTATGTGACCCTGTGGCAACCCTAAGGGTATGCTCTCATCCCTGCTCTGCGGAGAGGGAACAGAACAGAACAATGCTCAGAGGCTGCTCAGAGGCATCGCTGGGGGAGGTTCCGGGGGAACGGGACCTAAAGAAATGTGCCGACGAAATCCCAGTTACTGCTGTTTCCTTGCTTATCCACTTGGTGAAGAACATGGATATACGGACAGGTTCCCACCTGTGAATGAAATGATGGGCTGGTAGAACGTTCCATAAACAAAACCACCTATTCTCGCCTGTAGTATGCTATCAGTTTCTGAGAGTTATCGTTTTTGATGTTTTCTTATAACCATTTAAACAATCGCTGTGTTATATCCTTATATTGCTTCCAGTGTTGGTTCTAAATATGAAGACCCCTTCTATAAAGCATAGCCCTTGTCTCGGGAGGGTTGTGTCCTGTTCCCCAGGCGGGAGCGGTGCCCCGAGAAGAGAGGGGAGCTGCCGGCAACCGCACTTCCCCCAGAGGGAGGGGGTGGTCTCGGCCTTCAGGTTCAGGGAGAGGCTCTGCGGAGAGCAGTGTCCTACTCTAACCAGCGGCTCTTACCTGCTCCCAAGAACCTCTGATGGAGAATCGCAGTGTGATTTGCACTTAAACACTTGTTTTTGCTTCTCAGTGGCACTAAGTCCCCCCTTTTATAGGGGAGGGAACAAACTAAGAGTTGAATCTGGTTATTGTCAACGAGCACATCACCTTCTGCTTTATGTCGTCTCATCATGACTGTGACGCAGCATCCGGCTAACAGTCGCCCAGGACCTCGCGGGTCTCTGCGCAGCTGCCCGGAGCTGGTTTGAGTGTTGCGCTCGGAGGAGGCAGTGGTGGCCCAGGGTCCTCAGGGGCCACGCAGGGATCTGCTGGCTCTTGAACCCTTGGCCAACGTTTTCGGTTGGGGGCCCCCATTCCCTGTGTCCTAAGCGGGGTTGAAGGCACCCAATTTCCCAAATGCTATGAGGCAATGCGGGGGGCACCTGTCCCCGGCTGCTGTGGAATAAAAATCAGTGTTTCTCTCCCGGGATCTGCAGAACCAGTAAGCAGGGGCTGGGTAGTTAAGAAAACACACACAAAGGCCCTGGCCCGTCAGCGACACCTTAGAGGTCACTGAGCTGTTTCCCAACCTCCCGCTCCAAGCCGGTGGCTTCCTCGCGGCCCCCTGAACGCCCGTCACAGGACACGGTGGGGGATGTAGGAACTTGCCCCGCTCACCCAGCATCCTCCAAGAGTGCCCCGCTCACCCAACATCCTCCAAGAGTGCCCGCTTACCCAGCATCCTCTCAGAGTGCCTCGCTTACCTAGCATCCTCCAAGAGTGCCCCACTTACCCAGCATCCTCCAAGAGTGCCCGCTTACCCAGCATCCTCTGCGCGTCCCACGTGTACTCATACCAGGCCCGGACGCGGGCCTGCACTCGCCTGGGGATGGCGTAGGAGTGCATGTAGGTGACAGTGCGATCCAGGCTGGCCCGGAAGTTGTTCTGCGCGGCCGTGGCGGCTCCGATGACATCGCGCATCTGGAAACAGAGCCCGGTCAGCCCTTTCCTGGCAACTGGACTTCTAACCCGATTCTGGTCCGGTTTCCAGCGCTGACATCAAACACTGGGCAGGTCCTCACCCGAAGGAACAGTGTGCTGTCTTTTCTCCCGCGGGGCGGCGGGGACCAGCCGCGTGAAGGGCGTGGCCGCACCAGTTCTCTGCGCATGCGCACTGCCGCCAGGAGGCGGGTGGTTTGAAACCATCCCCCACGTGCGCGCCAGGAGTGCAAGCCCAGCCGGCTCCCCGGGCGGCCTGGCTGGTCTGTTTGGGGGTCTCGCTGAACCCACTCTTCGATCTGCTGCCGGTCGGGGCTCTAGGCCCCTGGGCCCGCAGCCTTGGCCTTTTTGGGCGGCCTCACCCTGCTCCAGGCACCTGGAAGCTGCACTTGCAGACCCCGATGCAGCACCAGGCGCTGCCAGCCTCTGTGCGGGACGGTGGGCTCCCCGAGACCCTGCAGGTGAAAGCTGACCTTCGGCCTCAGCACAGACAGTGCAGCTGGACGCACACAGAGGGAAGCCAGGGGCGGAAACTTGCACTGACGGGGGGCTTAGCAGGGGCGGCGAAGAGGGGCCCACTTCCACCCGCACTGGCCGGGCGCAGTCCTCCTCGCAGCCCAGCCTTTCCTGCTCAAGGAGAAATGGCTCCTCCCTGAGGTCGGCTCCAAGGGCTGTTCCTGGGACGCCTTCCTCACATGCCATTTCAGAATCATAGGCTCGCCCTGGCTGGTGTGGCCCAGTGGGTAGAGCATCGGCCTGCGGACTGAAGGGTCCCAGGTTCGATTCCAGTCAAAGGCCCATGCCGGG